TCTAAATCCTTTGAAGGAAAGAATCGTATCTTCTTCACTGTGATGTCCCCAACATTTAATATAGTACCACATATAACTAGATTGACTGTATAACTAAATTGGGATGTTTCTGGGAGTTAAAAGGGGCACTGTACCAGATGCTGGGTCTACAGGTGCCAACTGGGACTCTCACGGGCAAACTAGGAGGTAAGTTCATACTACAATATATATTCAGTAACTCTTGGGGGGAGAAAGAGGAAGACAGACATACCAAGTCTAAAGCCCAGTTGTCAAAGGTGGGGTATAAAACTCTTCTTTCCCTCCAAACGATAGCAATGAGAGTGAAATAATACGCATTTTCACTCCAAAAGTTATGTATTTAGAAAGGTAGTGCAGCCGGCCGGGCGCGGTGGCTCAAGCCTGTAATCCCAGCACTTTGGGAGGCCGAGACGGGCGGATCACGAGGTCAGGAGATCAAGACCATCCTGGCTAACACGGTGAAACCCCGTCTCTACTAAAAAATACAAAAAACTAGCCGGGCGAGGTGGCAGGCGCCTGTAGTCCCAGCTACTCGGGAGGCTGAGGCAGGAGAATGGCGTAAACCCGGGAGGCGGAGCTTGCAGTGAGCCGAGATCCGGCCACTGCGCTCCAGCTTGGGCGACAGAGCGAGACTCCGTCTCAAAAAAAAAAAAAAAAAAAAAAGGTAGTGCATTGTATTAGGTTGGTGCAAAAGCAGTTATGTTTTTTTCCATTACTTTTAATATATGTGCAGCTTAGTGCACATCTTTGCATAATGACTTTAATGATAAGATATTTGGAGATTGTAGTATACAGTCTTGTGATTTTCAAGAATATCTTGTATCATGTGACCAAGGAGATTTTTCCTGAAACAGTAAACATCCTACCTACCTTTACTAGAAATATTATTATGATAACTATTAAGTGAGCTCGTTCGTAGATTCTAGAGCAAGGTATGTCAGAAGGAAAGAAAGTGGTTTACAAATGTAGCCCTAAAGATTACTTTTCTCTTTCCTTTCTCTTATTTTGAACCCCTTCTTCCCACTTAGTTATAGAAGTTGATGCTTGTTTTTGTGCCTTTACTAGATAGGCCAAATTTTACAGCAGAAAACTTTGTAATGGGAAATAATTCAGGTTCATTTGCATTAAAATCATGTTTCTTTCTAGTGTAGTGAGTCAACATTATCACCAAATGGTTCGGTTTAGTCACATTCTTAGTTGACAACAGATATGTAACTCGCATCCTATCTATATTTATCATCTTCAGGATAGGCTAGTAGTCTGATGGAAAACAACAAATAGTTACAGAATTGAGGATACCATTTCTGATATGTGAGCTGAGGAAAACATTTGCTTTAAATCCCACCCATCATCTTTCATCTTATCATAGCTAAAAGAGTGAAAGCTGAAAAACTTTTCAGAAGGGAAAAAATAAGGATACCTATATGTAGGACTTTCTGAAATTTTGTCTCTGCTTATATTTTTTGGAAAACAGATGGCTTACTTATAAACAGTTGCACAAAAATATGATAGTGTCATATAAAATTCTTACGATAAATTTATTGGGGATTGTCATGTTAATGTATATAATAAATAAGCCGTTTTAAAGGAGAGGAACAAAAATTTTTAATACAGAGCAATTAGAAGGGAAGATGACAGTTTATTTTCATTTTATATTTCATTGCAAAAATTAAAAAGTATGAGGTTTTACAAATATGAAATACAGAAAATTTATATTAGATAGATTTTGTACTGCAATATAATAAACTTCACTTGAAGCTTAAATGGGAAATTTAATAAGAAACTTAATTTATGTTTTTAAAAAATACCATTTACCTCTATATGGGTCTTGTGTAGGTTAGAAAACACTGTTTTTCAAGTTAAAACTCTAGATTCATATCCTCATTATATACTATAAATCACAATTATAGGTTTTTTTAACTTTTAGATTCAGGGTACATGTACGTATTTGTTATATATGTAAATTACATGTCATGGGGGTTTGGTATACAGATTATTTCATCACCCAGGTAATCAGCTGAGTACCAGACAGGTAGGTTTTCAATTGTCTCTCTCCTCTCATCTTCCTCCCTCAAGTGGTCCCGGAGTCTGTTATTCCCTTCTTTGTGTACATGTCAATTACGGAGCTGTAACAACATTTTAATATTTCCTTAAAAAGAGTAAAGATTCTATGATTCCATGGAATCCTTTGTTTTTTTCTGTGTTTTTTTTTTTTTGTAACTACTCATAAATTCTTTCATTTTGATTTACAAATCAAAAGGCATATATTTATTTTGATATTTTTAAAATTTACACCAAGGGGCTTGTAAATGTTTTTTTGAAATAATTTGTAATATTACATAGTGCAGATTTCATCAGTTGTCACATGTGCTCTCTTTAGAGATAGAACTTTCTAAATATAACAGGCCATATTGTTATCTCATTTGAAAGCCTATCCTGAGCAACCAAAACTTATGCTAGTTTTATAAATTATGTTTGCATATATGAAGTAATATATAACATATAACTTTTAATAATATATAAATTTATATATTTTATGTCTGTGTGTGTGTGTATATATGTATGTGTATATGCAGTTATAACATATAAATCCAATCATTAGTGTTGGCCGGGCACAGTCACTCACGCCTGCAATCCTAGAACTCTGGGGGGCCAAGCCGGGTGGATCACCTAAGGTCAGGAGTTCAAGACCAACCTGGCCAACAGGGTGAAACCCTGTCTCTACTAAAAATACAAAATTAGCCAGGTGTGGTGGCAAGACAGTGTTTTAATGGTGGATTCGATTTGTTCAGTAGCTCCTTAATTAGCCATGTAATTTTACATAGTAATTCTTTTTATCAGGCTCAAATAAGAATGATATTTAATAAACTGGAGCATAGCTGTGGAAAATTGCCTGAGGTGTGAATTTCTGGTTTAAAATGAAGCATGCTTTTTAGAAGTTAATAACTATATGCTTTCATTGGTATACAGTTGAACGCTTATGATTGTTGATGTCACATATCTCTGGCTTCTGAGTAAACTGGAACTATAAACACACCACTAATTGGAAGGAGAAATTAAAAAGTTAAAGAAAAGTTAAACCCAGAAGTTCCCTGGGCCCTTCAGATATATTTTGGGTCTTCACTTTGATATATAACTCTTGAAACTGATGTAAATTGTACCTCTTTTGTGCAGAGAGGAAAAAGTGAGACAATGGACAGATAGAATGCATTCTGTTGCAGTAGAATTAACATCAAATCAAGAAAAAGTTTACTTGAGTATCTTTTTTTTTTTAATCCAGCATGGGTAAAAGTTCACATTAAATGAGGAATTCAGCTTTGTCATGGAATACAGCACCTCATCTTTTTTTTTTTTTTTTTTTTTCCCTTAAGCTCTTCTGTGTAGGATATATGACATGTAAGATGTTTGCTTATAGGGAAATATCTATTGTATTTATCCATTTTCACGCTGCTGATAAAGACATACCCGATACTGGAAAAAAAAAAAAAAAAACAGAGAGAGGCTTATTTGGACTTACATTTCCACATGGCTAGGGAAGCCCCAGAATTATGGCAGGAGGCGAAAGGCACTTCTTACGTGGCAGTGACAGGAGAAAATGAGTAAGAAGCAAAAACAGAAACCCCTGAAGAACCCATTAGATCTTGTGAGACTTACTCACTATTATAAGAATAGCATGGGCAAGACCAGCCCCCATGATTCAGTGACCACCCGCCGGGTCCCTCCTACAACATGTGGGAATTGTGGGAGATACAATTCAAGTTGAGATTTGGGTGGGGACACAGCCAAACGATATTATCCATAAAATTCATGTGATCATTAGAAGCGAAGTATTATTTGAGAAAAGCAAAGGAAGACTACTTGTACTGATGGACTATCAATAATTTAGTACTATTTCTTGAAATATTAAAAGGTAAAAACTTTAAGAACTTAAACAAAGGAAGGCAGACATTATTTTTTGAAGATTATTTTCACCAAATAATTGGTTTTAAAAATAGATGTTACTTTACTGTAAGATAAAGTTGTGATTATTAAGAGAAAAGTTTTATGATGTTATTGTCATTTCAATTTCAAAAAAATGAGGTTGTCACCTGTAATCTCAGTGCTTTGGTTGGCCAATACAGGAGGACTGCTTGAGCCCAGGAGTTTGAGACCGGCCAAGACAATATAACGAAACCCAGTCTATATTTTAAAAAAAAAAAAAATGTTGAGCTCATTGAAATATGTATTAATCTTGGTTTTTTAATTAGTAAAAATATAATAGTTACTTGCCCTTGAGTAGATTGTTAGCACTATCTTGTTTAGATTAGTGCATAGTGAGTAAACTGGCATGAATAGTAACTTTGGAAGAATGAAAAAAAAGCATATTCCTCATATTTCAGCTGAACTCTATGAATTCTAATAGAATTAGAATCAACAAAAGATATTTTTAATTGCCTACTGGATCCCTACTTTCTGATTAAACATGGTATTCTTATTTCTAAATATGCCAAATTGCTAAATCTTAAATGGAAATAAATTAGAACTGGAACAGATGCCTGTATAGAGGCATATATTTTATCTGTATCTATAAACAAATTTGAGCATAATTATTCCATTTGTGACTGCTTATAAGTGTTCTCCTTCATTTAAAGATCTACTACACTTTCTGAACATTCAACAAATACAAAGCAGATTTAATATTACCAGAGAAAATGTACTTGTAGAGTTTAGTAGGAAAACATTATTTATCATGTATACAATTTGTGACTCAGGAAATGAACTGGTAACTCTGAAGGCAGAAAATGGGTTATGACAGTTTGTTGGTGTGCTTGTTTAATAATTAGCAGTAAGTAATTAAAGTAGTAGCAAAACAAAATTATCACCTAAAGTATTCTCATGAAGAAATTAAATCTCATTCAATGTATAAATAAAACTATATTTGAATATAATGTTCTTGGAGTACTGTGTAAAAATGATGATTGTCTCAAACTTTGTTGTTTCAGAGTATCTGACTGTCTTCTCTCAGATGATTGCATTTCATGATCCAGAGCTGAGTAATCATCTCAATGAGATTGGCTTCATTCCAGATGTAAGTACTTGGTGCATTAATAGAACATGTTGTAAAAAAAAAAAAAAAAAAAAAAAGCAGAAATTATCATCACAAAAGAGTGTATTTTTTAAATTTTCATTGTCATAGAAGTGTGTATCTGAATAAGTTACTGCTACTAATTATAGCCTTATGTTAGAAAGTCTGTGGCTACTTTCCATACTCCCACCTTAAGTAATGAAAATGAGTCATTTTTCTTACCATAGTTGATAGTATCAAATTGTTTTGAGAAACTCGTTAGTGATAGTTTTGTATTAAACTGTGCTGTGAAGGCTTTTCACTTGGATTTTTGATATTCAGGCCTGATTTTGAGGATATACGAAGTGTATGCTTGAGTGAAAGTAACTTCTTCTATGTTTTACTTGATACTACTTTGGGAGCTTAGATAGATTTTGGTTTTTCTTTTCTCTGTAGTCCACATCAAGCTAAAAGTCAGAGTTGAAAATCAAAGTTTAGCTGTAGCGTGACTTAGCCTGTTTTTTATTTGTTGTTTGTCACATAGAATGAAGCCCTGTTTAAAGACTGTTGAATAAACATATATCAAAACATCACATTGTATCCAATAAATGAATACAATTGTTATTTGTCAATTAAAAATAATAAATGACAGTGGAGAGGAAAATAAATTAATAACAAAAGTTAGCTGCTTGGTGATGGGGTTGCAGTTAGTAGCATGAGTGCAAGAGAAATTGTTTACTTGTTACATTTGACATTAAAAATATTTTTAACACTGTGAATGTATTACTTACTGAAAAGTTAAATTGAAGGCACCTGCCCTCAAGCAATTATAATTTTTTAGGAAGATGCTTTATTAAAAATTATTGATAAAAAAACAAAATGTTCACATTACATATTGTTAAAAGTAGGAAATGCAATTTATAAAATAATATGGTATTATCTCATTTTCATAAAGTAGAATTTAGTGTATATGTGTATATACATAGGAGAAGTTGAAAGGCTATACTCTAGAATATTAATTATGATTATATCAGGTTGCAGGAGTTACGGGTACCGAGGGGGCTTAAGTGCAATTTTTAATTGTTTTATTTTAAAGTATTATTTTTGTAATGTGAAAAACTTTCTAAAACTATATTATGTGATCATGTTTAATAGACTACTGTAAAGCAGTTTCTTAAAAACTGTTTATTTTCACAATGCATAGGAAGAAATACATTTTATATTTAGACCCGGGGCACACAAAATTTGAGTGGTGATGTGTATGTGTGTATACAACTAAAATAAGTTTTACAAAACAATGTTTTATGCTTCCTACATATGATGCATTGTGTTATTTTTGAAAAGTGTACATTTAATAAGTTGATTTTATAAACCTAAATTTGAAAAATACTTATATAAGGGATTTTAAAAATCAATAAAAACTGATTTTTAAAATTAAAGAATAAAAATAAAAGGCTATTGGAGTATAATATCATTGTAAATGTGAGGTATAATACAATAATACTAGATCCAATCTTATGGCTAGAGTTGAAGAAGCTGTCAAGGAGCTGACTGCCAAGTTGGTAATGGTGTTAGATTTTTGAGTAAAAAAGAATATTAAGTATTTAAAATATAGACTAAAAAAAAATAATTATTTTCTAAAAATTTTTGTGAAGGCACCTAATTAAATTGTGCTCAGCACTGAACAGAAACAGAAAACATTATGTAGACAAGTATGTGTGGAAACCAAGTGCGGTGGCTTGTGCTTGAAAGGCTGAGGCAGGAGGATCACTTGAAGCTTTGAGTTTGAGACCAAAACAACATAGCAACACTTCATCTCTTTAAAATATAATGTGTAGAATTATAAAAACAATCTGATACAAATCCTTAGACATATTCATGAACAGAGATAATATTAAGAAAGGAAACACACAAGGATAAATAACTTTAATCAGAAAATTGAGTTCCGAATGAGTATGATGTAAGAAACAATGTTGAGCTAAAAATATTGTTAAAACATAATTAACGTGAATACATATTAAATGTTTACTGTGTACCAAACACTGTTCTACCCTCTTTAAATATTATCAGTCATCAAATACTACGGGTTTATAAATCTGTATAAAAAGTGACCTAAATATGTATAAATCCACTTTAGGAAGGGCTAATAATAAGGTGAAAATAAAATCCTAAATAATAACATGAAAGGTAAAAGTAGGTAGGAATCAGTTAAAATATGTTCTAATGTTTTAGCATTATTTAGAGGGAATGCTCATTTTATTTAGGCATTAAGTCAGGGAACCTTTCAAATCTGAGATTTGATTGTACCCTCCTTGAAAACTTATAAGTTAGCCTGTTACTGTTTTCTGGATACTGGTAGAAAATGTCAGATTCCTGGGCCAGAGACCAAGGACTTTATCACTAACAGTACAGCAAGCAGCATGAACATTAGCATATTTGTGTTGGTTTCTCTTGCTCTCAAATCCTTTGGAGACAACATCAAGGACCCAGATGATACCTGCATATATAGTGGATTACATTACAAGAGAGAAACCATGAGCCCAACGAATGGAGGTGTGTGGTGCCCAGAGGTCCCTTCTCCCATTGCTCGGCAAGCAGGAGGGTAGTGCTACAGGGTTATAGCTTTGTTTGCACTCGCTGTTTGGCAGATCCTGAGTTCTTTTCCTATGTCCAAGAATAAGGGTGAGTGACAGCCAGCAGGTGAGTGAGGCAAAGAGTTTTACTGAGTGACAAAACAGCTCTCAGCAAAGAAGGAAGCCTGAGTTGGACAGCCCCCTTACCTGAAGTTGGGTAGTCTTCCCACCACCCAAAGTGGGTAGCCCAGAGTGTGGCTGAGCCTGGGGCTTTTATGTGCTCAGAATGGGAGTGTATATGCTATTTGGTTTGTGAGTATGCAAGAAAAACTAACAACAACAACAAAAAAGGCACCACTCAGAGATGGCCACAACAGTTTAAAAAACTAATTACGGAAGGGGAGGTGTATGTAAAATAGGTGAATGGTAGGGATCAATCAGAGGAAAGTGTGCCAAACAGAAGAAGAGGTTCTCAATCCACGCTGTAGATTAAATGAGATCTGTATCTTGGTTTTCATACGTTAAACTGTCTTTGGTTTAAATTAGATTACACTGGGGACTTGCCCCATCTGCCTAGGGATTTTTCTGCCCCCGCTACTATCAATAGTAGTGTGATTAGTCTTCAGAGACAATTGTAAGTCATATGGGATGAGAAGTAATTCTTTGTGGGATAGGAATATCCAGCACATGGCAAATGCTGAGCATCCCTGACTCCCAACCACTCATTGCCAGTAGCAGTCCTCTCATCATCGTTACAAAAAAAATGCCTCTACACTCATTTCTGAGTAATTAATTCACATGTATTTCTGAATGTCCTCTAGCAAATGGTTCTGTCACTTGTTAAGAATTTTAGAGTAAACAGAAAGAAATGAGGGGAAACAATGTATCTTAACCTGAAGAAGGGTCCCATCTACAACTCTTTTCTTGTCACAGAGAGTGGGCAAAGTTTTTTCACAAAGAAAGCTAAAATGTTAATAGGAAGACTTTTTTCATTTCTTTGTGTGTATTTTTTAATTGAGCTGTTTTTCCAGTCTGTGGATAATATAAAAATGATGAGGCCTTTTTTAAATTCAGTTTTGTGAACAGATTTAATGTTTTAATGTAGACATTATTGACAGTGAGTACTTGTGGGAGGGGCATGATGAAATGGAGGACTTTTTAAAACATTTTTCTAACTCTATTAATAACATTTTAGTTCTATTTTATTAGTTGTGTATATAGCATTTTTTAAAAATTCTGAATGATTGTCTTTAATGTTCTACCTTTAAAGTAAGTATTGAGGTAACTTTCTATGCCTCTAACAACAGTACAGGCTAGATTTATCAAGGAGAAGAGTGGGTACTTTGATAATCATTTACCAAACCAAGTTTCCTACTCAAGAACTAAACCTATCAAAGTAAGCCCTCATTAATCTTTCATCATTGAAATTCAGCCTTCCATTGCAGTAGAGATTGTGATTTCTGGCTTTTTTCCTTTTGCTCTGGGTCACGGAACTCTGAATACTGAGCACTGCTAAAGCCTGAGTAGTTAGAAATATTGTATACTGATGTGATGCTTAGATTATACATTTCATGATAGTTATGTGATTTTCATATAAATAGAGTGAATAATGTGTATTTTATAAAATTGGGGACAGGCTGATATTTATCATTTTTGTCTTGATATGTGTTTCTGCTTTTAAAAGTATAGTAGGCCTCATTTAAAATGAGAACAGGAAAGTATGATTCATTCTTAAGGGAACTGTTTTCCTGTAATTCTGTGAATAGTATTCAGCTTGCAAATTATGAAGAGTTGTCAGGTAACCATTAAGAGAAATGATAAGGAGTCTATCAGTACTATACGTGCCTTTTCAACCTACTGTCACAGCTAAAGATAAAGCTAACAAATTCCATGATATGCTCGTAAAGCCATTGTCATTTAACTGCAATCTGAAAGGATGCTTATACTACTTAAAAGCTTATCACAATCTTTTCAAAATTTATATTCAGCAGAGTTTAAACCGCTCAGAAATAATTATGTATTTGTTCCTTCGTTTGTTCCTTACCTTCATTATGTTGTTACATAAATAAATTTTAGATTTTAGTCTAAAGAGAATACTGACAATGAGCTTTTCAGATTTTATAAAGATGTAATTACAGGAAAAACCAGGAATATCCACCTTATTTAGAATATCTTATAATGAGAGTCCTACTAACCTGTTGTAGTCTCTCTGAAGAGTCCTGTGATGTGTACTCTTGTCTGGTAGCTGCTATGGTTTCCCCAGCATTAGTACAAACTCCATTCTACTGGTATTGGATCCATTAAGGCCTTTGAATACAAACGGCTTATTAAAGTCTCTTTCTCGTAGTGAAGCTTGATTACCTTTCAGAAAGTGCCCAGATCTTAGAAATCAAAGTGGCTATTAATAGTATCAGGAATGATAAAATGATATTTTGGTACTTTCTAGCCAAA